CGTGAGCCCCCCCTCCCCGGGCAGCCTGTCCCTTCAGCCGCCTCTGCGGGCCCCTCGTGAGGTGCCCCAGGTGTGGGCGTCTCCCCTTTCCAGAGGGAAAAGAGGCGTGAGGCACTTCCATGCGGAGAGCTAGACCGAGGAAACAAGGCTTTGGCTTTGGCGAGCTTTTCGCTGCTGCGTTTTAAGAGGCAGTGCTTACGAAATTACACAGATGAGTGGGACGGGATAGGTGTTGGACAGAGGTGTCGCAGGTCCTGAGCGGCAACAGGAAGCTCGGACAGCAGGCAGCGTCTGTTCCGCCTTGACCTCCTCATCCACCTTTCCAGGGGCTCAGGGTAAGCAGAGCTCATTACAGCTGCTGACCTCCCCTTCGCAGGCTGGTGCCCGGAGCTAACCATGCTCCACGTTTTGCCAGAAGCAGCCTCCAGGCAGTATGGCCGCCTTTCCCCACGCTGTGAAGTCAGACCATCTTAACAAAGTTGTCAGAGGGCTCTTCGCAGTCTCCATTTCAGACTCTTAGTGCCTGGCTTGTAAGAGCCCAAGTATCAGAAAAAGCTTTGGAGTCGATCTTAAGGGAAACTCATTGAACTTCAACAAAACCTATGCGTGTTCATTTCTGCCACGAAGCACTTGTACTGAAGATCAGATACAATCAACCTTGCAGATTAAAGACAGCTTTAACATTTTAAACTGACTAGTGCTTAGCATAGGTATTCTGCAGACCTAGAGGTCGGTCTTGCCATAGGTTGTGTTGCGTGGAGCATCACTAATGCAGGATAAGCTATAATAAGTACAGGAATAACAAGCTAAGAGCAGACCTGGTACGATAAGACGTAATAGCAGGTATTCCTCAAGTTTGTGAATTGGATTTAGGAGCTGAATGGTTACGGCAGATCTGTCAAGTTAGCTAAGGAAAGAGATGCCACTAAGGCGTGTCACAAGGAGATACAGCAGCCTTTTAGCAAGTTTATCCTCTTTCTCCCTATTTCAGTATGCCAATCCCTATAGTTATCCTGCCTGGAAGGTGTTACTGTATGTGGTTTTGGTTTGTGCATGCCCTGGGGTAAGCAGCATTATTCTTGCAGGGACACCAAGAAGTTCTCTTCCATTGACCCAGATCATTGATCAAGCTTGTCAAGAGGCAGAAGCTTACAAGGATGCTGGAGTTGTAAGTTTTGGTTTCCTTCTTCCTGTGGCAGCATTTACCCCAATCTGCTTCTGCATAGCTGATATTTTAAATTGAGTCTATAATTCATCAAAAGCATCTTAAACCACACAGTTTTGGAAGATTTTTAAATCCGCATCTTTTATTTCAACATAGTAAGTAGGCCTTCTAGATTACAAAACCTAAAATAAGCATCACATGCACCCAAAACAATTGAAAAAGCTTAGATTCAAATTGTGCAATTCAAGTTGCTTAAGTTGGGTTGCCATCAATTTCTAAGAATCAAGTCGATTTAAGGGGAAAAAGAAAAAAAAAAGGGAAAGTTAACTGCAACACAGATGGTTGCTGGCATTCTACATATCTGGCTGTAGAATGCTTCATCATCCAGTCTGACAAGCCACTGTATTTTTAGCTCTCTACAGCACTCAACACTCTGGTTTCATGAAGTCATGCCATGTGCACAGCTGAGGCACTGCATACATACCTCAGTCACTTGTAGGCTGCAGGATCGCCCCACATTTGTGTTTGTACCAAAACAGCACAGATTATTCAGGGACTGAAAAAAAAAAAAGGCTTAGGCCCTTTTCTGCCCTCTTTAACACTTCTGTCCTAGCCCCCTGGCAGCAAGCATGCCTGTTCTGCGTATGTAGAAGAGAAGGCCCAAAAGGCCAGTCTCAGCCAGAGGCAAGAAGAGGCAGGTACTACTGACTGAATTGCTGTTGGACCTAAAGTGGTGTAGTAATCTTCATAGGTCAGTGGATTTTAACAGGGTGTATGTCCTTTTGAAAGGTCAGATATGTTTTAAAAATTTCATTGCACCTTGTCTTCTGGTGTTGATGTGCTTTTTCTTTGGCCTGCCTACAGTATTATGTACGTTCTGTGGCACGGTAAGTTGGTGTTCTAATGTCCAAGGTTTGAAAATGTCTTAAATTAACAAGTAGTCACTGTTCTGAGCTGCTGGTTTTTTGCAAAACTTTAATAACAAGCCAGTGGAAACCTTTTTAATGGCATAAATTAGAATGATACTTTACAGACTGAACAAAATTGAATATAAGAGCTTAGTCTAAACTATAGAAGACCAAGGTCAAAATGCAAGGCAAGTCACATAAAGTAGGTTATGGGCAGAGCACTACTAAGGCTAAATTAGGAAAGAATCCTGAGAACAGAATTGTTCAAAGGATAAACAGCAGTGCGGAAGAATGATGTTTACATAGGCGGGCTTCGGTGCCTATGAAATGGATGAGCATGTGCAAGATGTCCGCCCAGTCAGAATAATCTCTAACTGTAAGTTGTACAGAATGAGTAAGTTTTCTTCATTTTCATGCCTGTTGAAAGAACAGGTGTGCAACAGCTCTGTATTCTGTATTGTGATTTTATATTTTGTCTTTACAGTTACAGCATCAACATGAGGTATAAGATGATTTGATCTACATCAGAAGAGTGCCAAGTACTAGTCTCTGTCTTCCTGTGTTAGAGGAAGTGGTTACACAAGGGATCTGTAACTCTTAAAGACACTGCCCCACATTCTAGCGCTTGTTTACGCGTTTCCCTTACGTATTAATTATGCATTGAAACCTTTAGCAGCAGGGAGGAAACACCAAGTATACCTAAAGGTGAGGGAGGGTACAGAAGCAGTTACTTCCGTCACTGCTGACATGCACAAAGCTGGAACAGTTTTAAGACAAACTTTGAAATCAGTACTAACGCAAAATTTTAATTTGGGTTTTATACTTTATTGTCTTTTCAACAGTTGTAAGAAATTCTGCTATTCCAGGTCTAACTGGTTTACCTCTTCTCCTACTGCATTGCCGTCTCTGAATTTGAATATATTTTTAAACCTGCCTCACAGAGGGATGAGGTGAATGCAGTCACTTCTCTACACATTTGTACAAATTCAGGGCTTAAAGTTGCACTTAGTCTATTTCCTGTAGAAGTGACAAGAACATCACTATACATTCCACACCAATCTTCATTCTAAAGGTGTGTACACAATGATGTAGCAGCAATATGACAAACAAATCGTATTTACTAATGCTATAAAAGTCAGAGATAATCAGGAGAGCTTCCATAGATATCAGTATGGTTGCCTAACACTTTCTGCAATTCAGTTGTTTAGTTTTTCCTGGTACTTTAAGAGAAATGCAAGTTTTCATGATAGATACTTCAAGAGCTTCCTGGCTTTTGCACAGAGATCACCACTCTTCCAAACTAGCTATCCTGCTTCTATAATGGGAATATATTTGGGTTTCCCCGCTGAGTACTCCGAATGAACTGTTAAGCTGTCTGTTTTTCTTGTGGAAGAAGAGCTAGAAACTTAAAGGTTTTTTCCACAGATGTTTCTACTGACAGTATTTCCAAATGCTGCCTACAGTGGCCTTTAAGAAGATAGTAACCATCTTGCTGCTACTAGATGTTTACATATTATCTCAAGTTGCTTGAATTGGTGTTAACATTTGAAAATAAAGTATATGGTCTTACTCAATATGCATTGCACTTGGAAGTAAATCCTGGTATATTCAGAAAAAGGTGACTTGTCTGGCACATTAGCAGCTTAACATAATAAATATGAAAGATTTGTGATATTAGAGCACAGTAATGAGAACAAGTGAGTGCTCAGTTAGGAAGCCATCTGTGCTCAAACTGTATATGCTTTGTGCTTGTGTGTTGCCAAACAATGAAATTCCCTAGACAAGATTTTATAAGCAGCAAGCTATGAGACATTATGATCCCTGCAATTTGTATCTGCTTTTGTTTAAGAAAAATGCAAAATATATATTCAAGTTAACTTTTATTCATTCCATTCAGCCTGGGTGATGCTTACTTTGTAGCCAGAAAACAGAGCATGAGTTCACTCTGATTTCATTGATATAGATCACTTTACTACTAGTTGCTGCTATTTAGCTGTAGCTACCTGAGTAGCTGACATTAAAGACAGTTAGAGACACATAAGTAAAACTATTTCTTAAAGAAAAAAATCCCCACATTATAAAGCTACATTGAGTTGCAAATATTATGGTGCTTCTTACCACACAAAATTTTAGGTTTGCTTCTTTTACCAATGCTGTCTCTGGAGATGCATTCATTACTATTCTGATCCTCCTGACCCTTCTTTTGTCTCCGTACCTGGAAGGGTAGTTAGTAGTACCTGTTTTATATTGACATTTTTAAAAAATAAAGAGTTTCAAAACTATTACCCTTATAACTACAATGATAGTTGGAATTCAAATTATTTGGAGTTCAAAAACAGTTGAGACAGAATAAACTAGTATTTCTGGATAGAAACATGTAGGTAGTTATCACTTGGATTACAGAGGTTAACATTTCAAACCTTAGCTATGCTACAGTAGAAAAAAATAGGAGACAAACCTTCCCCACAACTACCTCCTATGGTATATGCAGGAGAAGTTAAGATACCTATTTCCCTATATTAAGGCAGTAATCTCTTGTTCTGGAGGTAGAATTTTTAAAGGAATTGCCAGGAAGCTGTGCCTAGACACAGCAAATAAATGCTCTACAAAGGGGCATGTGACTGTGGTGGTGGGAAAGGCTGTAATTGTCTTAGTGCACACATGAGCCTATATAATAATGAGTGTGGTGCAAAAAACCTCCTTTCTTCCTGTAGGAAAGAGTAGTTGTTTTAAGCTTGCAAAGGTTTGTATTAGTACGTATGTGTTTGTAGGTAAAGCCTTTCTTTTAGGGGAAACGCTAGGGTTAAAGTTGCCCTAGGTAAAAGCTACATTAGGTAGATGCTGAGTTAAAGCTTGTATGATTGTTATACCTGTTGTGGTTTATAGTGTTGTGACTATTTTTGAAGCTTTTCTGCTGTGATATGTGTGCATGCAGCTGAAGTGTTTTAAGAGGTCATTTCTATAAGTGGAATAAAGCTAAGGAAATTATTTTTCTATATAATCAGAGCGCTATTTAAATGACCTGTTTTCTAGTAGCTAACTGTGATACAAGAGGCACTTTGCACATATGTAGCACTTCAGAAGTCATTCAAAGTAAAAAGAAAATACATTGTTTGAGAATTACTTATAATAAGGCTATTATATATAAGCAACACTTAAATCATCTTAATATTCAACGGAAAAGGAACACAAAAGGTATTTGCTAGACTTCTATCTTGTACTATCCAAATAAATTCTGCTTTGGAGGGTGTAATACAGTAGGTGTTCCCGTAGACTTCTAAACTATAAGCTTAAGTTCCAAGAACTTTAATTTAGCATAACTGTTTTCTTTCCACCATTTTAATTAGCTGTCTGATAGTACTGAAGTCTGTTTTATATATATATCAATTCAGTAAACACAGAAATCTGTGGTGTTATATTTTTATATAAAATATGAAAGAAAGCTTTGAGTTAATGCATCTGTAATTCAGCTCTCTGTATTGCAGAACATATGTTGTTCTTTTTTAATTAAACAAAACATAATATGCAAAAGAACATACTCTATCGGATGGTACTGAAAGAATAACACATTATTAAAGTAATACCAAAAATATTCACTGTAACTGTGGACCTTGAGGCCATAGGAAGAGACAACTGCTGAAAAGTGAATATCCTAGGTTTAAGGTGGAAGAGAGAAATATTGGAATCCTCCCATATGCTGGCATTTTGAACTAGAATTCAATCAGATGCTTTTTATGCACTGTAGTATGGCTAGGGTTTTTAATTAAATTTTAAATTAATTAATTCATTAAAGTATCTAATGGAATAATTTGCTTTATGCAAATCCAGAGCTGTGAAAGTAGTAGCAACTCACGAAAAGCTCAGTTTCACTGCACAGTTCCTGTGGAATTCCACCAGCCTGTTCTCCTGCTTTTTTCGCTACTGGCGTGGCTCTTCAGGAGCTGAGCATCTGAAGCCCCATTCCTAGGCGCCTTTCTTCCTGCGTGTCCTGTTGAGGTTGTTTCTTGACTGCCTGAGAGCCTGGGGCTTCTGGTTTGCAGATCCTAGCTCCTTGCCCTGATGATAAGCTTGGAGTTTCCCAGATATCCAGGTTTTGGTGAAGTCTGCCAAGTAGAGCATTCTTGTGCCAAGGGCTTCCAGATTTTGTGGCCTCAAGGAATTACCTGACTTTGAGGGTTCATTGCATTATTTTGAGTTTGTTTTATTTTGTTAAAATATTATAGTTCTATGTTAATCCTTTTGCCACAGACTACTGCTGACCAGCTTTACATTCTTGCTTAGACTGACCTAATGTATTTATGTATACAGAGGGCAAAAGGCTAAGGGATTTCTCTTTCTGTTGGTATGACGAAGGATTCAGTAGTTGTGCCTGAGATACAAGACCATTTGGTCAGTTCGGGTTTGGTGGAACAGTCCTGACCTCATTCCAGAGAAACCAACTAAAAGTTTGTGATTTTTTTTTTTTTTTTTTCCTTTCTGAAAATGCTATGGGTTTTCTGAGGACTGGTTGTCATCCTTGTCATATGGCTACCTCCCATCACAGGTAGAGGAGTGAGGATGTTAAAGCATACATTGAATTGGGCGTAGAAACAAAATCAAGGACAGATGTTTTGGTTAGTGGTTATATCTGGTTTTCCTTTGCCTAGTTGGGGTTTTCTTGGACTGGAATTCTGTAGTTAAATATGCTGATGAATGACACCAAATAGTGCGTAGGTCTGATGTTGGGTGCTCATAATATTAGATCATTTTTTCCATTAATAGGTTGTGTCCTTTTGGTTTTAAGGTGGCATTTATTTTGTGTATTTAAATACTCAACTGTAAGTCATCTGGTAAAGGCAGCTGTACCCTGGTGCACTGAACACATGTGGGTCGTGTGCTTGGACTGACCATATTGTTCCACTGGATTAGTTCCATTCTCAGTTTTCCCCATCCTCCATGTTAGGTGTTCATTTATGATGCCTGTGGCTTAGCCTGTAATTCAGCCATTAAATGCTGATTGCATTTTCTATACTGTCTTATCTTTTACTGCCAAAAGGGCTTCTACACTACAACAAAGATTAAAGAAGCATTCCATATGAAAGTTTTTAAAAAAGGAAACCTTTTTTCCCCCTTTCTGATTCTCTACATTATTATTAACCAAACTTCTTTGTTTATTCTGTAGTTGTATTTTTTTTTCCCCCCATATGTTCTTCTTTCTATTCTGGTTCAGTTATAATGTCTTTGAAATGTAAAGCTCTCATTTTAAAGGATTAAGATGTGTGATAAAACTCCAGAAAGCGCAGAATTTATTTTCTATATATACAATTAATTTGTCTATTAAACTTCTTGTATTTTTAGATTGAAGCAGGTGAGAAATTTCTAGCTTCTTCTAATGTTCTCACTGCAAATGCAAAACATCAGGCTTGAAATACGTTTCAAGGCTATACTTTTACTCTTGTTACTAGTCCTTGACAAAATTATATATGATTTGCAGTTGTTGAAAACTTTCTGGTATATACTATACAATGATTAGAAAAGTACAAGGTACCAGATAATGTATAAAGATTTTCAATAAATCGCATAAATTGTATCAGCAGAGTATTTTGTCATCACTCCATTGTTTGCTAGGAGTATGTCTGTGTAGAGTGAGAGGTATAGTAGATAATAAACAGCAATATCTTCCTTCAAGTAATTTTGAATCTGGAATGGGAGAAATATCAATAGTTAATACTATGGTATTAGGCACCCTGCAAATAGGCACAATAATAGTCAAACAAAAAATTCCTTTATTTATCCAAAATAACACTTACTTTCTGACATTAATTGAATTGAAAATTGCCTTGATTATCTCTAAATCCTCCGTTATCCAAACATACTCAATATCCTATATTCCACTTGGATAATTGAAGTTTGACTTTACACTATTTTTAATGAGGTATAAGATTTAACTCATTTGCCTATAGTTCACATTTTAGGATGGATCAAAGGAAACCAAATTGATGAATGTATAATTAAAATCACATTTATTTCTCTTCATGATTTCCCTGCAAATACCATGCTGTTGATGAAAGCAGTTCTATAAGTGGTTGTATGCATCAACACAATTTACTGTAGATAATCCTTCCTTTGAAGGAAAACCTTTAAACTCCTGTGTCCCTTAATACAAAACAGCGGAATGGTAAACTAGCCATGTTTTTTAAGTTCCTTTTTTTTTCCAGTTTAATCCTATTTCTTTATAATAATCTCCACAGGATGGCTTGATAGTAGAAAACATGCATGATCTTCCTTACACGGTGTGTCCTGGGCCTGAAGTAACTGCAGCAATGACAGTCGTCAGTGCTGCAGTGAGACAAACCTGTCCCCATCTTGCGCTGGGTGTCCAGATCCTGTGTGCTGCAAATCAACAGGCGATAGCAGTTGCTCTTGCTGCAGGTAATAGAAATGACTCATCAGTTATTACTGTTGTTTGCTATGGCATTTACTCTCTGCAAGTTGTGCATTGTACTAACATAGATACCATGAAAAATGAGACACGAAAAGCTCACTGTACCCTGAAAAAGCAGAAATTAGATTTTGAGAAAGATGCCTGCTTGATTATAATAGATGATACTTGCGCAATGCTTCAGTAGGAGGCAGCTAAAAATCCCAGGGCTGCTGCTGCAGCTTTCTAGGTGAAACCTGTCTAAATATAATGATTAGTTTAAACCTACTCATGTCTAAAAGCCACCTTTGGTGTAACTCTATTTACTTCAGTTAAATTATATTTGAGGATCAATTTAACCCACTGTGGTTAAGCATCCTGTTTCAGCATCTAATTATATGTTGTTGCTACTACTGTTATCCATTAAAACTAAGTTTTCATTGCCTTTTTTAATGAATGGATGGAATGAAGCTTTTTATATAATAACAAAAAATTGAGTGTACAGCTACCCAAACTACTTAAAATTAAATTGCATTTGGGGAAATTAAATATAAATTAATCTATCTTTATTGCATGAATCCTAGACTTGCTAACCTTTCTGCTCCTACTGCTTGCTGAAGCAATTTTAGTTTTTCGTGTGTAACATTCCCTGGTTTAAAGATGGAGGTTGCTTTAATATGGAAGACTTGTACTTCTTAAATACTTCATAAATTGAGGGTTAATGTCTGTTTTTGTCCAAATTGCATATATGATTACAGTAAGGTTGCACAGTTTTTTGAATGTACAAATTTTATAAACAGGCAGAATTTTGTCCGAATGCAAAACTAAAAGGTGCTGGTGTTAAATGAAAACCATACTTCAGGTAAAATAATGAAGGCTAACTTATCTGCAGTGGCAGTTTTAATTATGTTGAATATGTTCTAAAAGTCTTAAATTCCTTTTTTCTTGGGGGAATTCTTGTTAGTAGATATGTTTTGAACTCAGATTTGTTTTGAATGCTTTAAAATCCAAAGTTGACACTTTCAAGGTATCTAGCTACTTGACAAACTGACAAAATCTATTTTTTATTGCTGCAGTAGAACCTGTATGAAAACCTAAAATAAAAATGCTAACAGAATCCAGTTTTAGTTTTTAGGGGTTGTATGCATGTAGGATACTTGAGGTACATAGGCATTTGCAAAAATATTTATATATCTTATTTTTAAAAGCAATAGTCAAACTGTTAGTGAGTTATGCATCCTTTTAGGAGCAAAATTGATCACTAAATAAGGGATATAGTGTGGGAACAATGTATTTCTCTTACTTCTCAGCAATTATTAATGAGGGGGAGAATTCCTGGAGGGCTTGGGTTTTGCTCAGCTCTACTGTTCTGCACTATTTGGTCTGTAACTGGAGAACACGAGCTAGGAAAGGCCTGTGTTTAATGCATTTCACTGCACTTCTCTAAAAATTATTGTCTCAAGTTCACTGAACAGGAAAGCAAAAATAAAAGAAAATCACTTTAAGCAAAGCCATAATAAAGTGAGTGCTACTTTGTAGGTAGCAAATCTTTGAGTAGTTTTTCAGTAGCAACTTAGCAGTGACTTTAATGTCAATACAGTTTTAATAGGTGGCTATTAATAAAGCAAGCCCTGTATACTTTCACTACCAAAAATACTTGCTGAAGGTGTTTTAGCTAAAAAGCATATGTAGCATCTCCTGCTACTATGCAATCATTTCATTTTCCCTGTGGAAGTTCCTATCTTTGGTAGAAATAACCGTTCTGAAGAGAACTGCACAGGGAAATCGTAAGTGGTTTCTAGGTGAAGGTAATGATTTTGTTTTGTAAAGGGGGAGAAAAAGTCAGCAGGTTTACAATGTGACTAGAAGGAGCTCAACATCAGCAACATGTGGTTATGCTAATAAACATGTTGTGGGTAGCCAAATAGTAACAGATGAAATTACTGAATTTTCCTAGTATATTGACAAGGTATTGGATAAAACTGAAAATAACAGTAATAAATCAGGGGATGAGATGTCTGAGAAGGTGAGATTTTTTTTTTTTTTTTAATTTATTTTGTTTATTCAATTAGGCACCTGAAGGAAGGAATGCCAGCAAAAACGTGTTCATGCGGGGTGCTTCAGCACAGGTATGGGGCAGTGGTAGGAAGATAGTGGGGGATCTTGAAGAAAAAGGGAACCACTGTGTCTCCACTCTTCTGACAGAAACAAGGAGTTCCTCATGTTACCAAAAAACAGCGGTTGAGCCAAAACAGTTGTTGTCAACATCCTCCCAGCTCCAAAAGATTATTGCAGACTGTTATACACCAGTGCTGAATGCCCTTGGTTCAGCGCACCGACAGGTCCACCACGGGGGGTTGAAGGAGGCGGCTGCCCAGCATCCATCCGGCAGGCCGTGGCGTTCTCCTGCCGTGGACCTCGCTGCAGGGCTTGTGTTCCCCCTCCATCTGCCCCACAAACCAGCATCACCGTCTGATCTTTTGCTTTCGCTTTTGACTTCAAGAGCTTATGTTGAAAGCTGCCGGATTTCCCTCTGTTCCTAAGGGCAGATATGGCAATGGTAGCCCACTCAAAAATTAGTGTCATTATATACAGAAATAGTGGGGGAGATTCATGTCACACCTTTCTTTAATATTAAAGTCCTCTGCTGCTCAATTTTTATACTCTTCTAAAGTAGGCATATTAATTTAAAATACAGTAATGTCCCTAAGGAACCGTAGACCGCAAAACATAGAGGCAATACAGAATAGTACAGTTTTATATTTATATTTGTGACTGGAAGCCATCTTAATCTTGAATACTTATTCTCAGAAAAACAACCCTTCTTAATAGCTCATTTTAACGACATCCTGCAAAGACTGTATTATCTTCCTTCTTTCCTAAAATGCTCTTTGTGGAGAAGCAAGTCAGAATTTGTTTGCTAGGGTTACTTTTCAATTGGTTCATTATTAACAGGTGTACCATGTGTTTTTTAGAGGTGTATAATTTCCTGTTTGTAGTTTCTGATTTAATTAACTACATCTGCTTGAGGTTGAAACAGAATGATGTATATAAGCAGGTTCTATGAGCATTTGTAGAGGAGTTAAAAATACAAATACTCCCTTATTTGTTTTTGTTTAGCAAATATTGCTGGTTATCATTGCTCAGATATTTCTCAGGAATGTCCACAGTATGGTCACTAAGTTGGGGTCAGATTTAGGCATAGTGTTTGGTTTTCCTTAGCTATGTATCAGTGTTCTGTTTCATGAAGTTAACCATTGTGTTAATTTCATGTGCTCATGTTGGTTGTTGATCTACTTCCAAATTACATGGCTTTTCTTTTATTGAAAGTTTGCTAATTATGAAGCACTATTATAGTAGAGGGGACTGTTGTGTCTAAAGTAATTGCCCAAAAGCCCCCAGCTGCTATTTGTGTTTTCCCTTGTGTTAGTGAGATGTTCTGCTTGGCTCTAATCTACCACTGTAGGTCTTTGCAGAGGAGATGCAGAGCCTTTATTATACAGGGAGTATATGCTGGTGATATTCCCTTTATTATTTTGCACATTCTGCATGCTCTCCATTACCAACATGTGCCAGTGATTGAGAAGAAATAAATAACTGGCCCATCATTAACCTAATGGAGACAAAGTTAATGGTGAAAAGAGGGATTTCAAGAAATATTGCCATTGTGGAATATTGGCCTGGACATCTGCTGATCTTCGAGGTATAAAACAGTCCCCATAGCTGCATCTCTGTAGTGATGCACAGGAACACTTCTGATATTCCAGGTACCCTTCCCTGTTGTATCTTGACTACCCAGGGTGGAAAACCCAGGCACATGAGCCAGAGGCAAGTTATGTGTTCTGACCAGAGCTTCGGTCTGGGTGCCTGGGAGCAAGGGCTGTAGGGTCTACTGTAGAGTACAACTTCCCTACACCTGGGTGAGCCTCTGTTACACTTGTCATGAATCAGGGCTGAGTTTTTAAGTTTATCTTCTCTCATCTCATACATTTTAGAGTAGGATAGTTCAGTTGGAAGGGACTTAAAATAATCATCTAGTCCAACTGCATCTCCACCTGACTGTGAAACTGCCCTTTTTTTCTTTAAGGATGATGTTACTGAAATCCCATTTCTGAATTAGTCTTCATCAATGATAATGACACAGTTGGTAGCTGATTAAGTAAGGCTTCGTATCACAAGATATCCCAGGTACCCAGACATCTCCATTTCTTTTATAAAATACAGTTTTGCTGTCTGTGACTCTTCCTTTCCCTCACCCACCAGCAGAGATATTCTCCACAGGAATTCACTTGCTACAGCCCGTGATACTGTTTAAGGTGGAATAGAATTGGGCAGAATTGTATACTGCTTTTTTTGTTTTCTTTTTAACTGCCACCATGTTAATGCTGTGGTGGGGGGAAAGCAGCTAAGCTGAGAACTGCAGCAGGGGTGTGCGTGCCTTGGGAGTGTGCACGGGTGCTGTGGAGCAAGGCAGCGAGCGCTCCGGACTCTGCTGGAGACGCTTCT